GGGGCAGGGCACACAGGCTGCATCAGAGCACACAGTCTGGGATGGAATTCCTGCCAGGCCAGAAGGTGGGTGGGAGTGAGGTATGGTTGCACCTCTATTCACCAAGATGGTGTGGAGTATAAGGGTAGCAAGGGGAATATCATACTTTTCCAGTTGTTCGTGTCTGGAATATCCTTGTGATTCCCAGCAAGTGGAGCCTATTCTTAGGTTCTTGGAATCTGAGAGAACGCTGTAGCTGTAAATATCCAAAATGGTCGAACTGCTTGTAAACATTCAAAATGGCTACACACTCCAGACTTTTGAAAGTACACTGCTCAGTTTGTCTCTTTCTTTGCTGTTTCCCCTTTTATACACCAGCCACCAGTGCAGTCCTATGTGCAGCCCCTGGCTCACAGGGCCAATTTTTACATTAATTCTTAGGTCCTAACACCACTTGGAAATATTCAAACTGTCCATGCCATCAGGATCGCTGACAGTCCGTAGCTCTGTATGTCTCCATTTTTGGCGTTTTCATGCAAGTTATTCTATTAATGGGAGTTCAGTCCACTTCTGTATCCTTCCTTTCAAAGCTCAGGGCTCCAGAATTATCTTCTGTATTTGTGTTAATTTGTTACTTTTTCTTTGTTGAAGAGGGTCTATGTACTTTGTCTGCCTAGTCCACCATCTTACTGGAACTCTCAAGGTTTTTTTTTTTTTTTCATATTAACAGGGCACATGTTTAATGGAATAGTCTTCAGTTTAGGTTTTTGGCTGGTATATTCCATGAGTGATGTGTGGCCTCTGTTTATCAGGAGTCACATGTCACATGATGTTGGTTTCTTCTGTTATTGATGATGTTAACCCTGATCACTTGGTTCAGGTTGTGTCCACCAGATTTCTCTATGGTAACTTTGTAATTAATATTTAATCTGTAGGGAGCTTTTTTGAGACTGTAAATGGATTTTTATTATATAAATTAAATATTTCTTTTCTTTTTTTTTAGTACGAGTTTACAGATTTTGTTCAGGCTAAATGTAAGAGGAGATCTCTAACTTACCCAGGTAAGCTAATGAGAGTGTTTTGCATATTTGGAGATTTTAACATATTTTACTTGCAAGAGAAGATAAATTTTTAAAAAAGTTACTTGTTCAGACTTATAGCTGGTGTCAGATATCTTGGGATACTAAATTTTTTTGAGTTGGTTAATGAGCTAATTGTACCTCAATTTTTGTAATATAAATATGTAAGTTAGCTTTAAAAATCAAAGTAAATTATATGGTAGTTTTGATGACAGTATCTCTTTCATTGAAGATGTTAAAAATTGAACGAAGTGAAAAAAATCACATCTCTCCTGTAGCGCACATGCTAGTTCTCTCTAGCATCTTAGTGCCTGAAAAACTAGGTGCACCAGTTTGAAATGGAGATTCTGGTGCTCTGAACAGCTCATTAAGTCAGAGTATGCCAAACTCAGGGGAGTAGCATTAGAAAGGGGAAATGGGCAATGTAATAACCTGGAGGGAAAAAACAAAAACAGGTGAACCTGCCCTGCAGATAACTGACCAGCAGGCGAGAAAAGGCATCAGGGGGCTCCCTGGAGCAGTGGACGGAATGCACAGCACCAGAGAACCTGTGGCCACTCCACGGATTTACCTTCAGCACCTGCTTTTATTGGTAAACTAGGGACCGCTAGGAGGGAGCAGGGAACTCTCTGGCTCCACGTGCTGCTGAAGCAAGAGCAGAGAGGAGAATAAAGCTGCAAGTGGGCAGGCCCTGGGATGAACTCCTATCGTAGATTGGGGCAGTTATCATAGGTCAGGTTTTTGGCATAGAGGGGCCTGGAGAGTGGGGTTTTTGAGGCTGTCTGAACCTGGTGGAAAGTGGTGACCCCCTAATAACTGGAGTCTTTGCTGAACTTGAGCTGTGAGCTTGTGAGTAACAGTATAACGTCATTATTAGCAGCCCGCTAAAAGTCCTAGAAATTGCTCCTGGCACTTTGGAGCTCTTTTTTTTTTTTAAACTCTCTTTTCTTCCTCCTTTCTCCACCTCTTCCCTGCTTCATCCAATAAAAAAACTACATTAAGACACCATAACAACTACCGGCTCAAATCCTAAACTCCCTTATGACAAAAAAAGACCTGCATCTACATTCCACACAGTGATTCCATCATCACAAAGAAAACTGCAGAGCAACCCAGCACACCTGAATTAATAACCAAAAAAATAAAATACACCAGCTCCACCTTTTCAAAATATTAAATCATAAAACCAAGACAAAAGAAATCAATACATAACTAACAGTTAAAGACAACTTCAAAATGTCTAGGAATCAACAGACAACCTCAAATCAAACAAACAAACAAAAAAACAGGATAAGACAGTAGAAGTAAAATCTCAAAAGTCTCATTAAACATGGAGGAAGAGGCAATAGAATTATCCAAGAAAGAATTTAGAAGGTATGTTTATAGAACTCTATAAAAGCTTAAGGAAACCCCAAACAGAAGCAAGGAGAACATA